ATTATCAAACTAAATTATCTTTAAAAAGTCTGAATTTCCCGAAAAATGACTTATATGCTTCCTTAACAAACCCGCGTTTCCCTCAAATATCAAAAATTTGAACCCACGAAAATATGTAATTTTACAGTTTGTCTAATTATCCAGTTTTAATCTCGTTTTGACAACTGTCGAGGGTGTACTTAATTCTTTAAGAAGTTCTGATTTCACAAGTCGACAACCTTCATAGATCTGATGGATGACTCAGGTATGTGTAAAAAATTCACTTTTACCGATGATTTTAATTCCTCCTTTTTCATGTATACAATATTTTGACATAATTTGATATTTCTGTCGATAACCTACCGTTTGTAATCCCCGATTGTTTACACAAAATGCCAGAGAGCAGACGACATAAATATAACGGTATGTATGATTTGAAGACAACCCTGTAAAAAAATTTCATTGAGTTTTGCCCATTCCCCGAGAGACGCGCACGGCGAGAAAGAGAAAAACTTGCATTAAAATCGCGAATATTTTTGTCGGAGTGCTGTATGTAAATGAACTCACTCTTAAGTATTTATAGAATAAATAAGAAAGAAAATTTCGTGATTATAATTTATTCATTTTTAAGTTTATTGTTATCTACATATCATTAATAAACGATTAAATAAGATATTTGCAATGATTTTATTTATTCTCTGCAACGAATGTCTCTTATCATACTGCCTCAGTCCTACAAAAATCATGTTCGCAAATCGAAGGTTATGAAATATTATTAATGGACGCCGATAAAAGATGTATCAGCCACAGGTTGAAGTATTAAGTTATTGTTTCTGAAAAGACACCAAACAATGATTAGTACAAAACCTAGCTATATAATAATTTAGTACATAATAAAATAATATGAAAAAGTCTTGCTTGTTTTGCTTTCTGTATATAATTATTCCGCTTTCATTTTATGGTCATTTTAATAACTGCCCAAATGGATACTGTGAGATTTTTTTTGTTCAACATCTTGATATGTCTATATTTTGATTAAAACAAAACAAATAACTTGTACTTCTATAATATGAATATACCTGTTATCTTGTCCAAATTTCTTCAGAGTAAGAAACATTGTGACAGATCCTACCAAAACGCCGATAATAAGACCGGAAATGCCAGCTCCTACTGTAGCCCCAACTACCTTTCCAACTACAATAAAGATAAATACTGTGGAATCGTTTTTCATTCGTGAGGATCAATGTTCTTGGGTAAAGGAGTTTTTTTTTATTGTTTTGTGGATAACTCATAATTTGAGACGATTGAATAAGTAATTATGTTCACAAAATAATTATTGTGCGTTGTGATTTAAATTATTTCGTTGATAAGTGTTTCCTACGAAATCCAAGAATTCGTGGAGCCGACGAATAATGATGATTCCACAGTAATAATCATAGATTAAATAAATCAAAACATTTATCTTCAGGACATGTTCAATTTGATGAATAATATAAACAAAATATACTTAATGAAAAACTTTTTTACACGAAATGCTCTCAAATTATATTACATAGGATCACATATTTTATAGAACAGATTTGTAACAAAGTTTTGGAATGTGTAACCGTATATAAAATAAGGTATCTTTAAAATAAGATAAGTCAATATCAGATAGACCAAATATTTTGTTTTTATTCATTCTATGAAATGTTAGAAATTAAAGCTATCAAAGGTTATTTTATTTTCAGGCCTCTAAAAACTATAGAATTTGTCATACCGAATACATGTATGATATTATGTATAGTTACTAAGGATACATGTAGCAATCGATTGCAGAATTGCTAATCGGTTAACCGCAAAACGTTTCGACCGATTAACCGGTTAGTCGTATCAAGATATACATTTGGACATTTTCTTTTAATATAGACAAAAAGGCTAAAAATACGTTAGATGTTATATTCTACTTATGATTTTGATAGGGGCATTTAATGTCCATAAGAGTATACTTTATTTCAATTTCAATAGACAAGAAAGAAGAAAACCATGAATCTTGCTTGAGAAATCAGACAGGGATAATTTTCCAACTTTGAAAGCAGATGTTAAAAAAGTTAATTCTGCGTTGTCACCATAATCAAAAGTAGTCTACGTCTGAATTCTCACTTTATTTACAATTTACAACGAGTTTATAATAATATAATTTACTAGATAACGGCAAAATATAGACATACTATTAATACTAAAAAGTGCTTAACGGCGATGTTTTTAATATTAAATAAAAAACAGCACTATCTGTTATAAAACACTAATTAAACTTTACGAATTGACCAATTACCCTGCGAACTCAGTCTTGAGAACTATATTAATTACCTCCAAATATTCTTATTTATAAGTTGTGTAAGAACACTATAAAAATCTATGCAGCGCTTTCTTTTCTAAACCCAAACAAAACAGAATGGATTTTAAGGAAACAGCGCTTATTACATATATTTTATTTTTTCCGACTAACCGACTACGGATTTTCTTACCGATTAGCATAGTTCCGACCGATCAGTCGATTAAACGGTTACAAATTGCCATCCCTGATAGTTACCGTTGTTTGAATCACTTCGTTCATTGATTCTTTGAAAAAAGAAGAATATTCATGCATATAAGATTAATATTGCAGAAATGTCAAAATGCATCTTTAAATTTTAAATCGACAGGAACCTGACTTTCCTTTTTGGTTTACATAAAAGTGAAACCCAAATCTAATAATTAGGTATCGGGTTATTTTTTTGTATAACAAAAAATGAGTAACTTCAAGTGCCTGAAACAAAATCATATTGAAAATGAAAATAACAGTCTTCGATTGTAAAATGATTCATGATATATAAAGACTTGGAACATTTACCTGATGCCTACATGTGTCTTTAATAAAAATTAGGTAATAAAAATATATTCTTATTATCTCAAGATATACCAATATTAACATACTCTGCAGTATAGAAGTAGGTCAATTTTGGAATATTTTTTTAAATATATATCTGGACGTAAACTGCATTTTGGCTTTGGTAGTATTGAAGATTGTTAACCAGTATACATGAATAAAAACAATAGAAATGGATTGAAAATAAAAGTTTAGATCATTTCTATAAAAAGCTTTTTATTGGCGAAAATGGGCACCATTTGTAAGAAGTTCCAAAACCTAGTACATTTTTATAACCTTTTTCTGAAATCGAAATAAAACTTTCTAAAGGCCTGTGGTATTGTTCGTATATTCAATTATCTCTAACACATTAGCAGAACTTTATGCAAGAACGAGGGATGTCAACGCAGTTGGAGTGGATAAAATAACGCGCTAGGCCGTGTTTGTGTATGTGTGTATTAATTTGTTTTTGAAAGGGAACATTTACATCGGTTTTGATGTCTAATGCTGCCTTGATTTAATATACATGTGCACTTTGCGATTCTTTGCAGACTTCTTAAATTTATTTTCAAAAAATGTCTTTTCTTAGAAAAGTTTCTGGTAATATTATTATATTATTAAATACTTCACGAAAAGATCATAGTTACAAGCTCACATGTGCAATTAATGCTCAATTTGATTCTTGTTAATTTATGCAAATTATATGTTGATCTTAAAAACCCAAATAAAATGGAAAGACAGAAAGAGGTAAACACTTTATACATGTATATCATGACAAACGTCCTTGTGTTTTGTGAAAAGCCAATTAAATATTTATAAAGTAATAATAAGTGTACCATAAGCAATAAATTTCTAATATATTTACAACAGATACATGTCGGCCAACTTTGAAAAAAAAACAATTTAAAAAATGCTTTGAAACTCACCTTGATGACAAGTCTTTCCTTTGGCGTCGTATACATGACCAAAACTACATGAACATTTATGTTTTCTCGTACAAACTCCTCCATAAAAATTACATTGTTCACTGTATGAGCATTCCTCGCCATAGGATATCCCTTTTCCCAAAGAAAGCAAATATAGCAATCAATTTTTATGAGGGTGATAGTGATTATATCGACTTTGATTACAATGACAATGATATATATAATGTTAAGAATGATTATGTACAATAAAAATAATAACCGGAAAGTAGAAACTCGTAGCAAGAAAAGAAATTTCTATCTTTCGATTGATACTCTTTAAATATTTCCTAGTTTACTGTCAATACAATGACCTTGCAGCAAATCCAATTTACCACTGAGTCAAATGCTCAGTGGTGTTTTTCATATAATTTGTTACTCCAGTATTTTATACACTGAATTGATGAAGGATTTTTTTTTCGTTATCACTCGATCAGGAGAAGGAGCATATAGAGTGTGTGACCGGTCGGCAGTGGATGCTCACTCCTCCAAGGCACCTGATCCTATCTCTGATGTTTTGAAAGCCCGTGTTTACTTTGCACCTATTTTGTATTGTTTTATGAACTTTGATATTGAATACTGTACGTTATCTCCATATCCTTCATTTTAAAGATCCCCCTCGACCCCCCACCCCCACTTAAAAATAGGGTCTTAAAATTTCAAGACGAAAAATTAGCGGAAGAAAAAGCCTACTTTCAATTGCATGCAAGCAAATTCAAATTGGCATTCGAATTATAACATGCATCACTTTATTAATACTTGCTAAAGTAAACGTAGAACTTATGCCTTTCAAAAGTGTTGATGTGTTAGCTTTCACAATATAAAATGTCCGCATACTTGATTTACCATTGTTAACCATACTTATAATATGCAATGGTGACGTAGTGAAATATTCTGGAGAGGGACGTTAAACAGTATACAATCAATCAATCAATCTTATGATAGTTAATTATATAGAGCTAGACAATGTCCCCTCTTAAACTCCTCTCCCTGTGGAAAACGTTACTAAGGGCCTATTAAATTAAGTTTTGTTGGCAAAAAAAAGTTGTCCTACATACTTTGTAACAAATACAGGATTTTTGCATATGCAATATGCTGACGTCACGTATCAGTCATGCAGGGCTGATATGAATTTGCGGGGATGATATGGTTCAATATCACACCCTTTGTAAATTAAACCTCAAAAAAGAGTATCTGTGATGATACATTTATTTTTTTATGGGGTAACACATTCTCTTAAATGTACCTTTTTAATGGGATAATCCAATTTCCAAAACATTGTAACACATAAAATACTGTCTTTGATTTTCAATGCAGAGATAACAGTTGCGATGTTTTTTTAATTCATGTTCGTAGATAATGAAGTGTAAATGTAAGAATGTCCTTACAAATTTTTCACAGTATAACGTTGTTCTTGAAGTACATTCTTTAAATGATTTTTTCATATGAAGTGGATGGATATACGTAAAGTGTTCTTGGTGTGTACCCACATTTACCCTTGATGCAAGAATAATAAAAAATATCGTAGCTTAAAAAATGGTTTTCTCCATTGTATATATTTTTATAACGAAAATAAGCTTTTCATAGCAAAGAAGAAAAATATTTTGTGGCAGGGGATTTTCAGTCCTCTGTGGCACTAGATCCCTCTTTTTATGTTTAGAGCCCCTTGTTTACTTGTTCTGATTTATATGGTCTGGATGGCTTGTGAACTTGAATAATGTACCTCATCTCCATATGTTTCATGTATATACCGTATAAGTGGAAATTTTAGCAAGATGCAAATTTTGCGATTTCTCATGAAAAATGGGTAATTTATTTTTAGCGAGATATAAATTTAGCTAGTTTAGAATGCTTCCTAAAGAAGCTATTACAAATAGAGCGCAATTGATATTTAGCGATATTCAATTTTAGCGATATTGGCGCCCTCGCTAATAATGCCAAAATTAAATCCTCGCCAAAAATTTAGCTTATATGGTATATTTTCCTACTAAAACATACAAAGTACAAGAAAGTATGTCAAAATTATTTAAATACGTACCACGAATACACTGGATGTTATACAATATATCCCTCTTTACATGAACAATGCTTCATTAAACATTTTTGAAAATCACCTGAGTTGTAGCATTGCTCGTCTGTAACACATATTTCTCCAAGCTGCACATTCGTTTTATCTAGAAGTAAAATAGTTCCCTTGAATCACGAAATGACAAAAATAAAATTTTTGTAAAAGATGCATGTTTAGATAATTTTATGTCAGAAATCATTTATAATTAATATAAAAATCGTTTAAGAATTACGTTTATTCATTTGTTTCATCGTCATTTATCAGTTTTAACACGTTATTTCTTAAAAGACTACTTAAATCTATTTCGAACATTCAAATAATATCAAAGAAATTTGGATTTTTTGATTTTAAGGTAATGAGCATTTGCAAAGTTAGAAAAAAGAATACGTATTTGAGATTCATATTGTTTGAAAAAAAATGACTTACTGGTAAAAAAAACATAATTAAAAAATGAATAGTGAAATATTGATTCTAAAAAGTATTTTTAAAGCCGGGGTCGATTCCTGTTCGCGGCGGCATGTCAAACTCAGGACGTAAACATAGATAGTGACTGTTCCTTCGCCAAGCGCTCGGCATTAGAAGTGAAAGACATGGATCTTTCGGATATGATATTAAAACGTAAGCCCAAGTATGTCACGGTAGGTGTTAGCAAGATGATGTACCCTCAAAACTTGGTGGTCCTGGATGCAGAAAATAAGTCTAAAGTTTGAAGCCCTTCACCGGCCTACGCCGACTTATCTAGATGAGTTAAAATTTCTCGAATGGGACATTAAACAACAATAAATCAATCAACCATTAGGAATTTTAATGTTAGATTAATCTTCTAAGGTAGCTGTGGCAAGTAGGGAGTTGATCCTTACCTTGCGGGTTCTAATTTCGCCAAGAGACGTGGTGACCGGTCCTTGTGGTGAGAACGTATTAACAGACGTCTCTTGTCGCAAAAGGTGCTAGCAGGAAAAAGACCGCCGCACTGCTCAATGGCCCTAAGTGCCGAGTATTTGCATCTCTCTACCGGAGAGTGGAGGCATCTCCATATGAGTAAAAAAATATCGAGAGGGACGAGCCAATACAGTATCTGAGTTATAGTTATAAAGAGTGTTGATCTAATATTTCTGCAATCATTATAATAACAAACTTTCTTATGATATAGTAATCTTAATCATGGACTAGGTATTTCAAAATATATTCCAAAATTTGACGAAATACAAGCCAAAAAAGCAGCAACCAAACGTTTTGTTTGACACAGTCATATATGTTACATCTGTCAACATTTCCAAACCAGTACCACATGTACATTGTATTTATCTACGTTTTTCTTCTTTCTTTTTTTTCTATTTTGTTTGTTTAATTAGTAGTTTACGTTTAAGTGTGTGTATTTACCTTGACATTGTAGGGAGAACTCGAAAGGCTTTGCCTGCTGTTCAATTCATCAATTTGTTATTTAAATTTTGTATTAGACTTAAGGACAGATGGTACAAACATATCATGTTACAAGTTTAGAAAAGTGGATAATTCTTAGAATTTTTTTCTCCTAAGAACTGAAAAATAAAATAAACTTGGAAAATATTACAAATATTTCAATAAAAAACAAATATAGACATACAAAACTCAGTAAAGATTTAAAGGTGAAAACAAATTTCAGAATATGTAACCTTGATGCTAAAAGTGTAATATGAACTTCAGAAAATATACCAAACCAGGTAGATTTTATGACGAAATACAAAATGATAAAAAATCAGCAATAAACTATAGGCTGAATCTTTCCATTTTGCTTTTCTTAATAAATTCATCCGGCTTGGTATATGTTTCTAAAGTTTAGTTTACACTTTTAGCACCAGGGTAACATATTCTGAAATTTATTTTCATCTGTTAACCTTTACTGAGTGTGTTTTGTCCATATTTTTTAATTAAATTGAAATATTACTAATATATTCCAAGTCTTAGGAGAAAAAATTCTAGGAATTATCCACTTTTCTAAACTTGTGACATGATATTAAGTCTCTTCCAAAGAAAAAAAAAATGTATGTATCATCTGCTCTTAATTGTCTTTATTTGAATTTATAGAAAAATATCATTTACATAGTTTATACTCTAAGAAAAAATATAGAGAGGTGTAAAAGATTTTTAAAAGACAATATAGCAAGGACTTTGAGGAATATTTTAATGATACCTAAAGGGACGAGAAGTACGCACATGAAGGCATCGTAAATCTGTATTTATTCAAGGTCATGACTTTTACACTCTAATACTCTTAGGAATTTATCTTTAAAGAATTGAAATATATTTAAATATATAATGTGAGACGATGTCAGATTTAAAGTTTCTTCAAAGCTTAAGCTTAATAACCTTTTTTTAAATTTCAAATACTATACATTGTAGCTAAAACATTGGAGACAAACAAGTTATATGAAAGACATTCTGATACAAAAACATGTTCTCTTTGAAAATTAAAACAGATGTATGATTACCTTGAGTAGTATTATGCAAT